CTGTATGAATGCAATTATATGTTTATTACAATTTTTGGCAAAGTGAGGGTATAACTTCATATTATTGGTGACCAGAGGAAAAAAGTGATATTTGTATGAGAGATTAGTACTCTTATTTTAGGATATTGAGAAAACAGACATATGAAAGTACTGTAACTGTACATTTCCTATGTTTCTGATGTACGGTACAGCAGAATCAAAAAAAAAGTGTCAAAAAAACACCTTTAAGTTGTCCCTTTCAGCTGATGGTATTTTAAACCAAATGTTTATTCAGAGCAAACTAGAAACAGTATTCATGATGTCTTTACAAATACTTTGCAATGATCTCTTTCTTCCTTTATTTTAACTTTTAATGTGCCTGTTAACCAATACTCTAAATTTTTACACAATTTAAAAACACCAAGTTGTTCATGCGTGTGTGTGTGTTGTGTCTGTGTGTGTGTGTATAAATAAAAACATTAAAATGTTAAATGACTCTTACTAAGGGGTTGAAGATTACATGTGGAAATATCAGATTCACAAACTGATAATAGAGACCCTTGTGAGGGTGTATCATTTACCTCCTTGGAATGCATTGAGTTTGATTAATCTTTTAGAAAGACTGAGGGTTTTTAAAAATAGGGAATGGACACCATGGAGTTGTAAGAATACGACAGGGAATACAGCCTGTCTATTTTAAAGCTATTTCTGACATGCTTTTTTTGGTGGCAAGAAACCTGAGCTAATTTTGAATTGTTTGATCAAAATAAAATGTTGTTGTATAAGTTTACTAGTTTGGCAAAGGAAAATGTTAAACCAATTAAAATAATGCCTGAAAATAGTATTTTAGTAGAGTTGCAAGCCCTGGATTGTACTAAATATGACTCTAATCAATGATGTTTTGCCACAATTTGATTTCAGGTTTGAAATATAAAAATATCCACTATCATTAGATAAATGCTTCAAATTTTGAACGTTATTGACTGTTGTTGAAAGATTGTTCAGGTTTTAAATATTATAAATCTTTTGCGGAAAGTGGTCCTTAAATTGTTCTGGGTTGGTTAATACTGGTTGTTAGTGGCAGTTATTCATTGTACAGATATTAACTTTGCATATCTCATTTATATACAGGCATTTACAGGGTTTTAGATTAGTGCTTTTTATAATTTGAAAAAAAGTAATCGTCTCAAAATCATCCTTCCTTGATACAGATTATGAAAAATCCAATCACCGCTGTGGAGTAGGAAACTTTCCTTGGAAAACGAGATGCTTACGCCATTACTCTAGGCAGAAATAAAGCTTTCTTTCTTTCTTTGAAAGAGTAAACCCTCACAACATGAGGTGACACAAGGATGTCTTGCTGACCTGGCATACAGACAGCTCTAATGCCTTACTTTTGCTGCTCATAGTTTTCTTAGGACTCTGTAGAGTGAAATTTACAAGTCTCTGGTCAGGCCACTGTGATATTGACAGCCATGTGGACAGTTAAAAAATGATGTCGATTTCACTTTGCTCTTGATGTTGGGAAAACTATGAGCACAAGCCAGATCAGGCCCTGGAGCTATTCTTGGGGAGGAGAATCCAAAAATCAGAGGTTGTGGGAGGATGTTGAATAGGAGAGATCCTTTGGACTATAGAAGGCTCTGTGGTGGACTGAGAAAAGAAAGTCATTTCTCCCTTTTAACATGCAAACTGGTCCATGCTGTAAATTTATCAAGCACATATTAGTCAGAGGCTGGTATGAAAGAAGATGCTTATAAGAGGGGTTCCAGTCCCAGGGCATCTTCCTAATAAGACTCCCAATGCCCTTTCATTTTTCAGCCATGCTTATGTATATGAAGGGTTGGGAGATGGCTTCTGGGTTTCTCATCAAGGTATTATCTTTAGATCTTATTGGTGAGGAGGCCTCTATATTTTTATATCTGCTGCTATCTAACAGGCTTAGTCCTTTGAGTAGTAAGTGTTCAAGGGGTTGTCTGCATGCAAACTGGAAACAAAATAAATAGGTTGTAGTTCTCTCACCTTTAGTTATTTCAGTGTAAGGCTGAGTGCGGGCATCTTTATTTCAGATTAAGAGTGTCCTATTTCAATTTAAATTAAGTAGATAAGAAATTGATTTGCCATTTTGAAGTAGGGCATGCATAAATGGAAATAAACTTCTTAAATCCTTTCTCTGTATGAATGCAATTATATGTTTATTACAATTTTTGGCAAAGTGAGGGTATAACTTCATATTATTGGTGACCAGAGGAAAAAAGTGATATTTGTATGAGAGATTAGTACTCTTATTTTAGGATATTGAGAAAACAGACATATGAAAGTACTGTAACTGTACATTTCCTATGTTTCAGACAGATGTCTCATTTCTCTTGTGAAGATGAAGCTCTGTTACAGTCTATGCTCAGACAATTACTGCAGAGTGTGAAGGAAAAAATCACAGGAGCACCATCAGTGGAATGTGCCGAAGAGATTCTTTTACATTTGGAAGAAACGGATGAAAATTTTCACAAGTAAAAATATTTTTGTTATTTTAATTTTATGGAGTCATCTAAGTGCTGTCAACTGTTCTGTGAAGGGAAAATGTTTACTACCTATATTGACTTATATATTAAGAAAATGCTTTTAACTTTCCTATTACTGATGAGCTCTGGAAGAATGTTACTTCAGAGATTTAATAAACTATATTTTACTAGTTCTTATTTTTTTTTCTGTTGGTATTTTCTTTCTTCTTTGGCTGAAATATTATCAATAGAGTTGTCATAGGTTTCACCCCCACTCTGAACTTTAGGGTACAGATGTGGGGATCTCCATGAGAACCCCTAAGCTTAATTACCAGCTTAGATCAGTATGCTGCTGCCACCCAAATATCTGAGTAATTTGGGAAACTGTCTTCTCCCCCAAAATCTTTCCTTCCCAATTACTATACCCCTTCCCTGGGTAGCCTTGAGAGACTCCTCCACCAATTCCCTGGTGAACACCGATCCAAACCCTTGGATATTAAAACAAGGAGAAATTAACCATCCCCTCTCCTTTCCCCCACCAATTCCTGGTGAGTCCAGATCCAACCCCCTTGGATCTTCAAACAAGGAAAAATCAATCAGGTTCTTAAAAAGAAGGCTTTTAATTAAAGAAAAGAAAGGTAAAAGAAAAACCTCTGGGAGATAGCATACAAGCTGATCTCACAGACAACAGATTCAAAACACAGAGGATGTTCCCCTGGGCAAAACCCTTAGTTACACAAAAGAATACCCAATTTGATTATTCCCCTAATGCACAAGACAAGTTACAAAAGAAAATAAACATAAAACTTATTTATTCCTTTTCTAATACTCACTACTCTGATACGAGGCTGATTCCTTGATCTTTTCCACTCTGGCCAAAACTAAAACTGAACTAAGACAAAGGGAACTTCCCTCCTTCCTTTTGAAACATCTTGTTCCCCCATTGGTTCCTCTGGTCAGGTGTCAGCTAGGCTAGGTGAACTTCTTAACCCTTTACAGGTAAAAGAGGCATTAACCCTTAACTGTCTGTTTATGACAAGAGTAAATGATTCTTCAGGGAAAATCCATTGTCTCAAAATTTATTTAATTAACTCTGATAAATGTGCTACATTCAGAGACAAACGAGCTAGTAAAAAAATCCTAATTGAAGGTTGCCAGATGATTTTTGTAATTGCTGTGGGGGTCCTTATTATTGTTCCTCATGTAGGTGAAATACAAGCAAGATGGCTAAAATATGATCTTTTACAGGCACCTTTCACAGTTAGTCCTTAGCCAACTCTCTTTTTATATATTTGATAAGATAAATTCTAGTTTCTAACAGAAATCCTATTACATTTTGAATAAAACTGAAAATCTTCTCTATTACATCTAACGACTTTTGGATGTCTAACTTGTGCTAATGCACACTCACATATTTACCTACATACTGTGCTCAGATTCTCCTGAGGCCATAGTCATCTTTGCATTTCACCTCAATTATACAAACACAATATTGTAATGGTTTTGTGCTCAAACTTCTAGCCAATAGAATGCATTTTGCTACATGGCAGATTTTATGACACAGTTGTGAGGTCTGAGAGAAGCCATTTAACTTAGATGAACTGAAAAGATGTTTAAGCTTTCGTGGGTGAATACCCACTTCGTCAGATGATGACTACATGCATCTGACGAAGTGGGTATTCACCCACGAAAGCTTGTGCTCCAATACATCCGTTAGTCTATAAGATGACACAGGACTCTTTATCCAGACTAACACGGCTACCCCCTGATACTGAAAGATGTTTAATTGTTAAAACCTGGGTTCTGTGACCTTCGTTTCTTCTGCAAAAGCCAATGACCTCAAAAATATCTTTAAATAATGCAAGGCAGTGCATTAACTGCACTCCTTATACTTTAACTAGGTGTCAGTGATGTGTTGTCAGTAGCAAGCTACCCGACATCTCTGAACTTGGGTGATAGCAAGTAAGTAAAGTAAAAAACAGAAATGACTCTAAGCTATTTTTAAAACTAAATTCAGAATTTTAATGCCTTCACATGTTTTCTCTTAATGATTTTAGATTTAGGGTTGTGCATTTGAGCAGTCCAAAAATAAATGGTCAGTGGACCAGTCAAATGCTCGTCAAAATATTTTAAAGTACTGATTAATTAGAACAGTAAAAAATAAACAAAAAGTAAGATTTTTATGGCCTCCAACAGGCTTAGTCTTAGATGCTTATGCCTAATTAAAAAAAAACAAATTACTTAACTATGTTGTTTTAACTTACAAAAATGTGAAAAACAATTAAATGAAGTTTTAAAAATGAAAGAAGGGCACCAGGATGCAATCAAAAAAGATAGGCCATTGCCTACATTGAGGAATTCTTGGAATATTTGACAATATTTAACTATGATCAAATAATAGGCAGTTATCTGACACTATTTAACTGGTCAATTGACTGTCTTTCCAAGCCTATTTATGTCTTAAATGGTTTTATTTTTAAAATTTATTTTTCACCTGTAACTTGTATTATGCAATTATTAATGACATTTTAATGCTAATATCGGTGCAGCCACTCAATTTGAGCTCTAGATCAGGGGTTCTCAACCTTTTTCTTTCTGAGGCCCTCCCAACATGCTATAAAAATTAAACAGCCCACCTGTGCCACAACTGTTGTTCTGTGTATAAAATCCAGAGCCAGCATTAGGGTGTATCAAACAGGGCAATTGTTTGTGGCCACGGGCTGCAGGAGGCCCCATGAAACTTTGCTTGCACTTGGGGTTGGGCTTCAGCCCTGTTGCGGCTCCGGCTTCAGTTTTTTGCCCTGGGCCCCAGTGAGTCTAATGCTGACCCTGCTTGATGGACTTCCTGAAACTTGTTAGAGCCCCAGACTCCCAACTGAGAACTGCTGCTCTAGATCAGTGGATACTGAACACGAGAAGAAAAGTGGTTGCACAGATATCAGTATTAAAATTACATTTTAATTTCTGGACAATAACACATTTTAATTAGAATAAGGTGACTTGCACATTATAAAATGTGAAATTAAGTTTTCTGATGTTTCTGAAGAAGCATTTGCAGCTTCTAGCAACACACTCCCCTCCACAAATGGTGTAAAAGTACACAGAAAATTCTACAAGGTTCATCTTTTGGAGCTCATCATGCTCAAAGAAAATGAGTTGAGGGATTGAAAGAGAGGAAAGGAGATGATCCTAGAAATACTATGGGGAAAGCAGTCTCAATCTGGAGCAGCAAAGATGAGGGTTAGCTTCTTGGGGGTCCTCATCTTTTCCTTCTTCTTAGCAAGTTTCTGTGTGAGCCATGCTGCTATTGACTGTCCCCCACCTCTTGTGCCTGGGCTATAACACAGTTAGGAGTCAAAGATACTTAATTTTAATCTGACCAGAATTAACTGTTGCAATGAATTTCAGTAAGAAAATCTAGTAATGCTTGATGGGAGCATGTATCACAGTCACTGCACTGGAGCTGTACCCCTGTGACCTTCTTTCAACTTAACCATAGATCCCTGGTGGTATAGATGGGCTTTCATTGGTTCGCGAAGGGGTGGCAATAAGCCATGGAGACTCTGCTCCCCCAGTTCCTTTAAGTTTTGAGGTGTTCCTTTACCCTTTTCTTCTCTGATGTTGAACAGCAGGAAACATGGAGCCCTTAATTTGAGTCTGCCGCAGAAGGACAGAATGGATGACATTTCTCTTTTCAAAGTTCAGTCAAAGCTGATTTACATCAATAATCTAGGACCTTAGAATTTTTTTTTTAAATAATCAGATTTACTTTGTTTTCTTCAGACTTGGGGAACACTAACAATATAGCTTGATTGGAACTTGCATGCCTGTGCAGAAATTTGACTTCTCCATTATTTTGTTACAAACTAGTGAAAAAGATGAAAGAATGCTTCAAGGAGCAACCACTGTAGTGTCAACTATAAAATAAATTTAGTCTTTCTTTAGGTCTACCGTCTTTCTCTGCAGCAAATACACTGTGCTGTGATCTCTAAATTATTATTATTATTATTATTTATTATTTGAGAGAATGAAGCAGTTACTGCCAAAAATACATTTTCTGCAAACACCCCAGCCATAAAAAAAAAAGAGAGAGAAAAAAGACTTATGAAAGCTTCATTCGGCAGACTGCCACAGTGCTATTTTTTATAGTAATAGTAATGGCTGAGCTAACCTTATCAACAAGTGAAAGGAGAAAGAGACAGAAAATGAACAGAGAAGCTAAAGAGTTACATTTTTCCTTGAGATGCATTTATGTTGCCTCTAATAGCAGTGACAATAAAATATGAAAGTGAATAAATGGAAGAGGAAATAATTTAGAGCCATTACACTTAAAGTGACTTAAGGTAGTCAAGAGTTTAATCTGATGAAAAGAACATTATATGAAATAGTTGGTAACAAAAATGATTCGACTCTTACTCGTTTTTAAAATGTTCAAGAAAAAAGAAACTACACCAGCAACTGCAGCAGCTGCTTTTGTTTTCATGTGCACTTTCCAGGATTGGACAGTTCATGTAATAAAGCCAGTAAACCATATATAAGCATGTCCACTCCATATATTGATCCTTCTCAATTCACACAAAGTACGTACTCATGTACTCTCACTTTGCATCCACGTTTGATATAATGAAAAGGTAGTGTAATCCTACAAACAACTGTTGCGCAGTCACTGTTGTGGTAACTTGCTGTATGTCTTGCCCCTAAGGCAAAATAAACAGATTAGCAAGATTACATTGCTCATGTAGTCTGGACGTCTTTTAAAAAAAAATAGTTAATTCAAATAAGCCTGAAGCTACAGACTAGTCCTCACTGCGGACTATTGCTTTTTGTTTGTTTGAAAAGCCAGTGATTCTAATTTAACAAAGTTATGACTATTTGAAAATTGCTTAATGAAACTACAACATAGAAAATGTCCTTAAGGTTCCAAGTACACATGTAAATATAGATATGCTGCTTATGGCCCTGATTTAGTAAAGCACTTAAGCACATGCTTCTGTCCCATTTGCTTTAATGACGTAAGCAACTTTTGTACTGAATAGGGATGTTTTTTTTGCATGGAGGGGCATGATCATGCAACTAGTGAATTGTGCACTGGTTGATTCAAGAACTCACTAGTTCTGCTGGAAGAGCTTGTAAACTGAGTTCAGATTTTTTCCTTGACAAACTCCGGTAATTTAAATGCAAAAGACTGTATTAATGCGAAGTGAAGATTGCAAAGCTAAAATCAAAAAGTCAGGAAACTCAAAAGTTAAGCTTTGAACAAGTTTTAACTCAACTGCATAGCATATATGTGCTGTTGTCCAGCTATACTGAAAGAAGGACAGAAGACATTTGACATGGGTTTAATCAGGCTGCAACTTTATTATTAGATGTCTGGGACTACCCGGCAGATAAAACTATACAGTGCAGGTAACCCCAAGTTCATTCCATAATTACCCAGGGGGCTTCTGCCAGCTCCCCTTCTTTTTCCATCCAGATCCACCCAGCAAATCCATTGCTGGGACTTTACCATCCACTCCCCCTTGTAGAAGGGTTAAGGTGAGTTGTAAGAAAAGGGGGTTGGCTCTCTGCCATACCAATCATAGGAGTTCCCTTTTCTTTTTAAGTCCTTTTCCAAGCCATTTATCTGGTCACTGTATACCTTCCCTGTGGAGTACCTGCACTGGACATCCGCCCCACACTTAAATGGTGAGTTGTGACATACAGCCTACCACCCTTCATGCTACGCATGAGAAAAGCACTTCCTGAACCCACTGTGGGAAGATGGGGAAAAAACCCAAATCCACCTACGCCAATCTGGTGGTAAAGGAAAAATTCCTTCCCAGCCCCCCTAAAGAAGGGGTGGCTAGCACACTGCCCACAGCAGGTCTTGACCAAACCTGGTATCTCAAGCCTCCACTTGCTCCGTGTAAAAGGGGGCTTCGCACACAGGGCTGCCCCTTTTAAACCCTTCTGCCCATTCAGTTCCCAGGGGATGAGTCAGCGTCGTCATGCTGGTCCCTTGTTCCCTTTTGCAGCAGTTTTCCTCTCTCTCTCCTCCCAGCCATAAAACACTGTTCCCTTCATTAGGCTAGCCAGACAAATCCTCTCACCCCCTACTTAAAGGTGTGGTGTGGTCATTTTGTCTACCAATTTTCCTAGTTACATGTATAACTTGGATCAATTATTACTAATTGTCATAACATGTATGCTTCAAGGTACTTTTTATCAGTGCATTCAAGTTAATGTTTTTCTTGGAGCCTTAACTTTTGCATTTCCTAACACTTTATGATTTTTGACTGTGCAGCCTTAATATGGCATCAATATAGATCTCTGCATTTAGGGGAAGATTTTCATAGGCACAAAAGGGAATTTTGACTTACTGAGATATTCTTTTCATATGATATATCTATACTGAAGACATTCAAGAAAAGCAAAATTGTTTGGTGCATAGATACTGGAATTAGTGGTGCTGGGGGTGTGGCAGCACTCCCTGATTTGAAGTGGTGTCCATCATATACAAGGTTTACAGTTTGGTTCAATGGCTCGCAGCATCCCACCTATGCAAATTGTTCCAGCGCCTCTGGTTTGGTGTCTGAACTTTTCTCTCGGCTGAAAAACTCCTCTTTAATTCTTAAAAGTACTGATACTTAAACAGATGTGTCTGCTGGAAAAATGTTGCATATGTAATGTTGAAAATGTTTGGAAGATGAATATCATGAAATACATTGCATTTTAATTTCTGGATATTTGTTGCAGCTATGAGTTTGTGAAATACCTTAGACAATACATATGTAGCACTCTGGGCTCTGTGATTGAAGAAGAAACAGAAAAATGTACCTCTGCTCAAAATCAGGGTGAAGGATCTGGTTATGACACTCTTGTCCAACATGTTACAAAGAAGACTCAGGAATCAAAAGAGTGAGTATGTGCACAGGATACATATAAAATTCCATTTTTAAAAATATGCAGCTGGCAGGATTGTCTGGCCCAACTTATTCTTTTTTCCTTTCATATTTTTTCAGTCAATAATTCTTAATTGTAATATTTATGGATGAAGTTACTTTGGTTCTAAAATCTGTTTTTTTGTCATTTATAACTTTCCTCACATATTGCCTTTTGGGTTGAAATTCCTCATGATTGTCTTATCTTGGAAATGAAAGTATATTGCTGTCTAGGAAGGTTTGAAGACAATCCATTGAACTATTTAAGATTTCTGACTTTGTATGGTTAGGGGATTATTTAGGATTCTGGTGGCACTTAAACTCAAATAGCTGTATTTTAAATTTCACACTTGATTTACAAATAGTCCTATGTGAGAAATGAGGTCTTTGTCAAATATAAATGTGTGTCTCTGAGAAATAATTTGTTTATGCACAATTTTTGAATTTCCTTATAGGTTTAAGTGGACACTGAACATGATTATCTAGATATACATACTTTGAAAGCTGTAATTCAACTATAGTGGATTAGTTGCACTTCTTTTAAATCCTGTCTGCATACAAATTCTTTGGTCTAGGTTACACATCAGAACCATATCTATAATCATGTTAGGGGATATGTGAGTTGTAGCCAGATTTCTTGAGATAGTGGTTTATTTAGTGAAGGCATGACCTTAAATGGAAAGCCCATGTATATGCCAGATAATTCTTACAACCTGGTTAGCCATCCCTTCTTTGCAGATTCTCTTGATTCTCTTGCACAGTATGATCTCCATCTCTATTTGTTGTGTTGTGAATAGAAAGTGATTTTGTTACCAAAACCATTTGTTTTAATTTTAAGTTCTCAGTTCAGCAGGAAGTGAAAACAATCGAAGTTTGTTTCGTGTTGATAGAAATTAATTTTTAAATGTTTGCTTTCAGAAGACTTCACATCTAAAAGGAAACAAAACAACTGAAGTTTTAAACTATGCTTAAATAGTGTCTTGTACATGTCACCTGTTCCAAAATTTGTCACATTATGACTGCAAGAAATTCAGTGCTCTGATAATGTTCTGTTTGTGTCTCACAGTCTATTAGGTCTGATTTCAAGACTATTGTAGCCCCTATTGTGGATAACTATAGTCTCCCTGTTATTAGCTGGCTATATAACTATTTAAGTGGATGGGGGGGGGAGGTCTGTCTTGGGAATTTGACCTTTTGATTATGAGCTATATATTTAATGATAATACTTCTGAAATAATTTTGGTAATACACCTTTACCCCAATGTAACGCGACCCGATATAACACTAATTCGGATATATCGCGGTAAAGCAGCACTCCAGGGGGGTAGGGCTGTGCACTCCGGCGGATTAAAGCAAGTTCGATATAACGCAGTTTCACCTATAACGCAGGAAGATTTTTTTGGCTCCCGAGGACAGCGTTATATTGGGGTAGAGGTGTATATAGGTAAGTCATACTACAATTGTCGGACACATAGAAGAACATACATTGTTGGGCAAAAGTCAACATGGGTTCTGTAAAGGGAAATCATGTCTTACTAATCTATTAGAGTTCTTCGAAAGGGTCAACAAACATGTGGACAAGGGTGTGGAAGCAGAGAAAGAACTGACAGGAAGGGGATGCAATGCATGACAGTTTGTTAGCAAGAGTCAGGCTAACTGTAACCCTAATAACGCGAGATTTGTAGAAGCGAGGAATGTGTGAGGCGAGTGGGAAAGAACTGTGTGAGAAGTTGTTGCGACCTTGTGTAGATAATATGTAGATAATATGGAATGTAGACTAAGAGTCTACATTAGTAAGAAAAACAAGATATCAGAATGACCTATGTATAAACAAAATGCAGCTGTTGTTCATTATTGTCTGTAACAAAAGGTATACATGCTTGCTGTAATTGTTTACCTGTTAAGAGACCTGTTTAGCTCTCTCCCTCTACGCAATTGTTTGAGAAAATAAAGTATCTGACTTGCTGTACCCAAACAAAAAGTGAGAACTCTGTTATTCTCCAACAAGGGGGATCCAGTGGACATAGTGTATTTAGATTTCCAGAAAGCCTTTGACAAGGTCCCTCACCAAAGGCTCTTACGTAAATTAAGTTGGCATGGGATAAGAGGGAAGATCCTTTCATGGATTGAGAACTGGTTAAAAGACGGAACAAAGGGTAGGAATAAATGGTAAATTTTCTGAATGGAGAGAGGTAACTAGTGGTGTTCCCCCAGGGTCAGTCCTAGGACCAATCCTATTCAGCTTATTCTTAAATGATCTGGAGAAAGGGATAAACAGTGAGGTGGCAAAGTTTGCAGATGATATACTAAACCACTCAAGATAGTTAAGACCAAGGCAGACTGTGAAGAACTTCAAAAAGGTCTCACAAAACTAAGCGATTGAGCAACAAAATGGCAAATGAAATTTAATGTGGATAAATGTAAAGTAATGCACATTGGAAAAAAATAACCCCAACTATACATACAATATGATGGAGGCTAATTTAACTACAACTAATCAGGAAAGAGATCTTGGAGTCATCATGGATAGTTCTCTGAAGACGTCCATGCAGTGTACAGCGGCAGTCAAAAAAGCAAACAGGATGTTAGGATTATTAAAAAAAGGATAGAGAACAAGACGGAGAATATCTTATTGCCCTTATATAAATCCATGGTATGCCCACATCTCGAATACTGTGTACAAATATGGTCTCCTCATCTCAAAAAAGCTATGCTGGCATTAGAAAAGGTTCAGAGAGGCAACTAAAATGATTAAGGGTTTGGAAAGGGTCCCATATGAGGAGAGATTAAAGAGGCTAGGACTTTTCAGCTTGAAAAAGAGGAGACTAAGGGGGGATATGATAGAGGTATATAAAATCATGAGTGGTGTGGAGAAAGTGAATAAGGAAAAGTTATTTACTTGTTCCCATAATATAAGAACTAGGGGCCACAAAATGAAATTAATAGGTTTAAAACAAATAAAAGGAAGTTCTTCTTCACACAGCGCACAGTCAACGTGTGGAACTCCTTGCCTGAGGAGGTTGTGAAGGCTAGGACTATAACAGGGTTTAAAAGAGAACTAGATAAATTCATGGAGGTTAAATCCATTAATGACTATTAGCCAGGATGGGTAAGGAATGGTGTCCCTAGCTTCTCTTTGTCAGAGGGTGGAGATGGATGGCAGGAGAGAGATCACTTGATCATTACCTGTTAGGTTCACTCCCTCTGGGGCGCCTGGCATTGGCCACTGTTGGCATACTGGATACTGGGCTGGATGGACCTTTGGTCTGACCCAGTATGGTCGTTCTTATGTTCTTATTCTTATGTTCTTAAGAAGAAATTTGAAGTTTTATTGCAGGATAAAATCCTTGCATGAGCAAATTCATTAATTAGTGCCTAATTGTTATTCACAAATTACTTTGGAAACACATAGCAAAAATATCTTTTATAAGTCAATCATTTACATTAAAGACTACAAATCAGTTCTTAACCTTTTGGCACTAAATATAATAGTTTGTGGGATGTGCTTTTGAACTTCATATGTGTAAAGTTATCCATGTGTCTATAAGTCTTGCAGGTTTAGGGCTTGATCCTATGGTCATTGAAGTCAATGGCAAAGCTCCCATTGACTTTAATTATGCAGGATCAGGGCGCAGGGCCTTCCTGAGCATTTTCAATGCCAGCTTTGTTCTTTAATGTGAAGTCTTAAGCTGTTTCTCCCTCAAAAGATATACTAGCTTACATTAGCATAATTCCAGCGGAAGTAGTTTAATGCTTTAAGCATTAAGTTTGAAATACCCGAACTCCTTGAATTCCTAGGTTCAAAATGCAGCAGCACTAACTCAGTTCTTTTGGGTTTTTCTGCATAGAGACTTAGTGTGCAGCAAGCCAGGATGTAAATCTACAGCGCACTAGCTTCTCATGCACTAACTGGCCATGTGGTTCACTAAAAGTTCAGATTGAAACTGTAGTTTGTCAAAGTGCTCTATGGAACTTTTAGTGCATGGTAGCAGGGATTCACATGGTGACTTAGTGCACAGCAAGTGTGAATGTGCCATTCACCGAGTCTCTGGGTAGTCAAGCTCTTTATCATTTTGTAGTGTATATAAACATAGTTTAGCGCAGTTTACTGTCTGTGGGTCTTTGGGCAAACCTTAAATATACACGCTATAACTGCTGTATAGAGGCACCAAAGATCTCACTGACTTTGTTTTTTCTTCATACAAATGTTTGACCAAAGTTGCTCCTTGCCCAGTGTTGTGCAGCATGCAAATTTTGCACTGGGCTGCTGCCCTGCATCCCATATATGGCTGCATTTTAGAGGTGCTGAGCATATAAAGTCTGTGAAGTGTCTTGTCCTCCTTCAGAATGAAAAACACTATTATACATGTAAAATACAACATTATTGCATAATTCCCTTTTACAGATCAAGTTTTGTTTTCATGCATGTACATACAGTATTGACTTCACAAAGGTCTGGAAATTGACTGTTTTTCTCCATTTCCATTCTGTTTCTTGAATGAAGGGGGTTTATTAAACATTAACTTTGGTCATTACAGAAATGGATTTGAATTGGTGTTGGGGACACACAGCTTACTGGAAGAGAGACTAGATAATGCTGTGCGTTTATTTGAATTTGCTTTCCCACATGAACTATTTTAATGACTACCTGGTTTCATGACAAGAATTCTCATAAGTATATATTTCAGTATCCATCGGGCAACAGTTCAGCCTTGGATCACATTCTACTTTGGAACCATGTGACTAAACTCATCTGGGATGTACAGGTATTTAGGAATACTGATCTTGCTCTGGAATCTGATCATTGACTCCTAATAGTAGAAATGATGATCTGCTTTTAGTACCTACTGCATCAAAATGCTTCAGCGTTGATAAGCTTCATGTTGAAGCTATCACTAACAGTTATGTGGTAGCGATTTCCAATAAATATTCTATATTGGATGACTAGTTATCTAACACAGAGGAAGTGTGGACTTTATTTTGGGAATTTGATACAGAAATCACTGGAGAACAGCTAGAACTAAGGAGTATGAAAAAGCAACATAGGATTACAGATGATACCATCAAATTATGGGGAAAAAAGAAGTGCAGTGTAGAATGGATGCAATAAAAGTTGAGGCAAGTTAATGAAGAAAGGAGGAAATGGACAATAGAGGAGAAGAAATGTGTTGAACAAGTAGTTAAGAGGGTCCACCAAAATTACCATAGTCAATGGTGGATTAGTATGGCACAGCACATTGAGGAAGCCTCTGAAAGACATGACCAGAAATGCATATTTGAGATTTTGAATGTCATAATGAGACATCCATTCTCATGACTTCCACCAATTAAGGACAAAAATGGAAACTATTGCCAGTATATTGATGCACATTTTAAGTGTTGGTCTGAGCATTTTTGAGAATTAATGAACAGATCCCTATCAAGCTGTAAACTACAACTTAATCCAAAAATGAACTAAGTAGAAAATATGCCAGTGACATTAGAGGAAGTGATACCTGGAGCCAAACAGTTATCAAATGATAAAGTACCTGGCCTGGATAACATTTCAATGAACTGCTGAAGAGTGACTGTCTGGGTTTAGTTCACTGGCTTCATAGAGTTGTCTTAAAAATTTGGGAAACCAGTCACGTTCCAGAAGATTGGAAAAGGGGCTGCATCATGCATTTTTTTTTCTTTTCAAAAAGGAAAAGCAATTGTATTGCTCAAATTATTGTGAAATAGCAATGTTATCAGTCCCAGGGAATGCTTTTATGATCATATTACCTTATTTACCATATTTTATGATCAAATATTGTCTCAGCTCTATAACGAGAGGCAACCTGTGTGGTTTCCATAAAGGTGATCTACAATCCATTCTGTGTATGCCTTGTGGAATCTATTGTAAAATGACTAGCGCAAAAAAAAGAAAGTTAACATTGCCTTTATTGACTTTGCAGCTGCTTTTGACTCAGTGCATCAATGAGCACTATGCTTACTGCTATGTCAGGATGGGGTACTTAATGATTTAGTGTGCCTAATGAACACTTTTCCATGGTACACTTAGTTGGGCAAGGGTCAACAATTATTACGGACTAGTTTTCAGTAGAATCAGGAATAGGCTAGAGATGCCTATTCTCTCACTTACATCATTTGATATTCTAATAGACTATCTGATGACAGAGCTGAAGGAGGCCAAAATAGGTGGTGTGAAATGTAAAGATTCTTTTTTAGAGGATCTTGAATATGCAGTTGCCTTATTTGGAGAGACTACTGACCAACCACAGCTAATGCTGGAAAGGCTGTGAAGAATTGTAGAATCAATGGAACTTAAGATCAATGGTGATAAAATGGAAGTTATGCACTCTGCCTATAAAATGTCTCGCCAACACTGCAGGTAGATGATGGTAATGATAACAAATGGGTGAATAGTTTTATCTATCTGAATATTTGGTTGACAGCAGGCGGTTCTATAACTGAAGTCACATGTTGGATTCATTTTACATCAGTGGTATTTCAGCATCTTCAAAGTCTGTCTTGGGGCAGCAGGATTTCTGTGCCAACAAAGATGCAAGTGTTTAATGCAGTGGTATTGATGACAAATGTGATGGGTGTGACTCATCACAGTGGCGCCACCTGCTGGCCATCTTGGAGATTAGCTCCACATGTCGGTATGCCTTTTGATGGTGCCTTGCCCCCGTCACACCTGCTCTTGGACCCACATCACTCAAAGGACTGCAGCATCCTCTTCATGATACAGCCCTCCGGCTGTATCATGATCTGTGCTAACCCTTGCAGGGGCCCTGCAGTCAACTCTCCAGCCACTTCCATCAGTTGCAACTACAGCCAACTGTCTAGCCACTGGCCCAGTGACAAGTGTGTGTGGGGGGACCCAGGCCTACCCACTACTTTGGGTCCCAGCCCAGGAACCCTGTTGATGCGCAGCCATGTGCTGCATCCCCTCCAAGTCCTCAGTATATTTCCCTGGGCCACTTCCCCCAACCCCCAGCACCTTCTTTGCCCTTACCTCAGGGCCTCAGTATACCAGTCCTAGTGGCCAGCCAGGAGCTCCCTCTTGCTTCCCTGTTCCTGCGCAGTACTATTCTGTCCAGGGTGTTAGCTACCATCCACCTCCATGGCACCCAGTTCTCCCTCCTTGAGCTCCAGGGAGTAACTGCCCCTGGTTTCAGGGCTGGCTCCAAGTTTTTTTCCACCCCAAGCAAAAAATTTTTCCTGCGCGCTCCCCCCCGCCCCGCCCCACCCCCGCCCCTTCCCCACCCATTCCAAGTGCCACCCCCAAGCACATGCTTGGAGCGCTGGTGCCTATTGGCCACTTCCTGCACAGCCTCTTTAGGGCTCTATTAATCCCTTACATGCCAGTGTGGGGTGGACACCTCATCACAACAACCCTTTACAGGGAGCAGAAACATGTTCATTAGAAACAGCTGAGGAGAGAAAACTAAATAGTTTTCAGTGTCAGAAGTTACACAGTATTCGTAACACCCGTTTGATTTTGTCACAGACAATCCTGGTAAGTTGCAGTCTTGTACCAGCTGAGAACAAGGCAACTGTAATGGTGGGGTCATGCCCAACATACAGAAGAAGGTACGGTTCTAAAGAAGGTTTATGGAACTTAGGTAAAAGGAAGCAGAACAGGAGGTCAACAATAAATGAGGTTGGAAGATGAAATTGAGGGATTTAATCTTCCCATACTGACTCTTGATGAAGGAAGAAGACTTGCAAGAGAATATTTAAGGTGGACGTTCATTCTGCACAACAGCATGGCTAGCTACATTATAGCCATGTGGCTCTTCTGCTTATTAAACATTATACATTTTAGATTAACTTGGTTATCTGAAGGCTACTTTGTCCATGCATTCTGTACTGCTGCTTCCTCAGAGGACTTTTGTGGAAGAAAAAACCTTAATTAAACTTGTGGAGACAGAAACAGTAATGAGGATCAGATTTGGTCTCTTGTATTTTGTTAGGGCCGTATTCTGCTGATGGCTTGCACATTGTTCCTATTGAAAGACATCTGAGTGCAGAATACAGATTCGTGACAAAACTGGGAATGCAGGTCCCTATGCTGTTTGTTATAAATTTTGGTATTGTTATTTGAATAGTTGTAGGAAAGCTTTTTGGTTTATTTTTAAAATGTATATATCTATAGTTTTTAAGTTTGCACACACATTCTGTTAATTACTTGGGATCTGTATAGTGTTTTGTATTTATTTTAAAACTTTTTTAGTTCACTGAGTAAATTCTGTGAAATGTAAATGTAATGGCATGACTTATTCCATTATTCATACTTTAATTAGTGATTTTTATGTTATTTAATATTAACATTACCTTGACTTTGAAGGTACAGAGAAATGATGCATTCCTTGAAGAATGTCATGATGGTGGTGGTGGAATCTCTGATTAACAAATTTGAAGAAGATCAGATGCGTAATAAGGAGATGCATAGGAAAACCAAGAAAGAGCAACATAGTGCTTACTATACAGACAACTGCTCTGATAGTGACTCATCTTTCAATCAGGTATGATATTACGATCTGGACTTGTATTGTGGAATAAGTAAAATACTTATACTCGTAGTAGAAAGAGAGCCTGAGACGTAAGCCTTTGTATCAGAGATTTGGTATGAGGCAGGACCTGCTCACAGAATCTGGCAAGAGCAGGGCTAATATTGCAGAAATACATGTTCCTAAGAAGTGCTAGTCACAGAGTACTCACGCAAACACATCCCGATATCAAGTGGTACCAGTACAAGAATATCCAAATATCAAGAATGGTACAAAAACATTCCCAAGGATAACAGGAACGCACTGACCCCTCCTAAAAGATAAGATCTGGATGACAGTATGTAATATAAATGTTTTAATCAAACCAACATGTACCAGGTGATAGGTGATAACTAGCCACATCAGGGGGAAGTAACTAACTATGTCAGAGGGTGTTATGCTCATACAAAGCACACGGGATCTTTATAGAGGAAGGTAAATACACACAGCATGTATTGAGAACACCACAGTTAGCATATGCTTTTTAGACACATATATCTACACACACACACACACACTCTCTCTCTCTCTCTCTCTCTCTCTCTCCCCCCCCCTGCAGTGATGTTTATAGTTACCAGTCCAGAGTCTGGATCAATCTAGTGGCCAGCCAGATTGGTCGCAGAGGGGAGCAGGGTTCTATCGGTCGCAATCCGATGTTCCTGGAGTGTGGCAAGACGAACCCAAAGTCCTATGGCAAAGCACCCTGTTCTTATAGGTTTTCTTCTCTGTTGAAGCCTGTGGATTCTGCTGTGTCACTTTGTGACTGGTTACTTCTTAATTGGTGTAAACATTCCAGTAGAGCTCCGAGAGGGTCATCCTCTCCTTTGTTCCAATTTAATCAATTGTCTTTAGGGGTGCCAGCCTTTACCTCAGGGTCGTCAATCTGCCCTTCATTATGGATGCGTGTTGATGATTCTTTGATGTCCTTTAAGTTTCTTCACTCCTTCTTCCTTGACTCTGGCTGTAACAATGGCCTTCACACCTTATCTTTTCCTAATGCATACATTCCTCATTCACACAAACAGATTGAGAATACAAATAGTAGTATTTTATATTGAGCAAAAGGGCATTGCAAATTAAACCTTGCTAAGTTTTTCAATCAATAACCAAGACAATTTACATTGAGACCCAGGCCTTCAATGTTCCTCTAATCTACTTAACATAGACCCAATAGAGAACCCTGTCTTTTATTTACTAAACCTTAAAACAAAGAAATGTATATTTAACTAGAGTGCCTACTTTGTAATACATATAGGAAACCATAGTAGACATTCTAACTTATTCTAAAACAAAAGGATGACCATAATCAGTTATAAGGATTGTTTTGGTCTGTCATCCTTTCTGCTATTCAAAAAGTGTGGCTGACAGGATGAAATCAATTCATACATTAATTCTCATAGTACATTATAAAATCCAGCTCCTACAGAGGGGCAGTACTAGCTTGTTTGTATTGGATATATGAAGGTATATCTCAGAGGGAGTATCTTTGGCTAGCCAAGGAACGGAACGGAAAGTCTCGCCGTTCACTGAGCTGGTCCCTTGTTACAGGCATACATGTATTACTGGTCCGGTAGAGTCTGCGGGATACTAGTACCGTGCCTCATTGACAATAAACCTGGCTGGGTTCCTTCATCTCTTAACGGCTCTTGTGGTCATTGGGAGGTTCACTCTCGAAGTTTGTTGTGCCAGCTGTCTGTGCAGGGCTGGGGCAGCATACAAAGGGATCACACAGCCAAACATCTATTAACATCTAACCACACTTGTGATCTTGATTAATTTGATGTTTATGGTTCTCCATCAGAGTAGTGAGTAGTGATATTACAATTAAGGATGAGATGGCACTTTCACTGTAAACCCCAGTTTGCAATTGATTACACCTTTTTTCAAAAAGTTACCCTTTTAGATGATGTCTAAAGAATCTTTTCAGTTGAGCAGTAGCAGATTGAATCATTTTTAAAAAATGAAATCTTAGATTCTGCAGCCAGATTCGTCTGCAAAGGGTAAATTCTTTCGCAGTTCTGTTGCCTTAGAGTCATGGAAAACATGGTTGCTTGCATTTACAATGTCTGTGAGCATGCAAGTGCATGGACATATATAATCTGCAAAATATGTGCTAATAATGTGAGGAAAAAGGTGAAGTTTACATAAACACAGTATTCATTTTAACTTTTTGCATTTTTACTGGAAGAACAGTAAAATACTATATATGTATTTATTTTCCAACATGCAATACTATGCTATATTATTAATTGCATGCCACATTACCTAGCATTGTATAACAATTTTATAATACAGAGGCAGAATGGAGAAGAAAGAATTTTATTACTGGGCCTTCAAGTTCGGGTTTTTTGAACTTTGGCCGTTTAAAATCTCAACTTTAATGTTGCATTAAGGTAAATGCTAACACGTCAATTGTTCAAAAATAAATTTTATATCCATACAATCTGATGATTTTAGTCATTAGTGGTGCATTTTAATAGAATTACTTAGTTAACATTTTACATTGTGTGTTACAGAGTTATACATTCATGAATCAAGAACAATTACAGCTACTTGTGGAAAGGCTTGACCCTGCTCAACCTAAGGAGGTAAGTGAAAAGAATGTCTAAAATATCACTCATATAAATGAAAACTTATGGCATGTTTGAGAATATGGTACCTGTAGATAAACATGGGTGAAATCCTGGCTCCACTGAAATGAATGGCAAAACTGTAAATGACTTCAGTGGGTCCATGATTTCATCTTATGGACTTCAGCTTTATAGTTACAATAATACAAATAATAACAACAATAGTTACAGTTGCAATCATCATTCCATTTCGGGGTCAGCAACCTTTGGTAATCTGCTGGTGGGCTGCGAGACATTTTGTTTACGTTAACTGTCCGCAGGCATGGCCCCTTGCAGCTCCCGGTGGCCGCAGTTTGCTGTTCCCGGCCAATGGGAGCTGCGGGAAGCAGCAGCCAGCACATCACTGAAAGGTGTCTGGCAATAAATTGCTTCATATTTATTGTTGTTTATTTTTTGCAGCGCTATTACTCCAGGTTGTGGCATTTGAGTAATAAAGTAAAGCAATTTAATGATCTAGTATAAATCTTGTATTTGATAACTAAATATATAGTTGCTATGGGAGAGCAAAATACTAATAGGAATCAATTAGATTACTTTAATTATGTATTTTAAAAGTGTATGCTTTTGTGTTTTCCTCACTGTTTTGTCCAAATTAGCTTAACAATCTACTAGCAGAAGAGGTGGGTTTTTTTTTTTTTTGAATTCTTGCTTTTTGTGTCCTATGACTATGGACTGTTTCCCCACAAAAATCACATTTTTAAGTATTTCATTGTAATGGTACTGTTGACAGCATTGTTTTGTTTATATTTCTTGATTATTTCAGGTGCGCCAGGAAGCAATGCAGACATTGTGTTCTGCGCCTCCCTCTGATGTACTAAACTGTGAGAGTTGGTCTAATTTGCGTAAACATCTGACAATGTCTCTCTCTGATCCTGATTCCACTTTCAGTGTAAGCAAATGGTTTATATGTAGCAATCAGATGTTTATCTATTCAAAACAGTTCACAGGAATAAACATGTACATTTGTGACATGGTAGTCCAGTAGTCTGGCAACAGGTAACTAATTTGTATATTTATCAGTTCAATTGTTCTTGAGGTAAAACAACTTACCACATTTCTCCAGCACTTGATTTAAAGGTGACAGGCACAGGATTGTGTAATAACTGGACTTGTTCCCTGTATTGATTTTTTTATGATGTATGAAAATGCCTAAATATTGTGTTTGTTTTTTATAGTTTTTTTCTGATTATTTCCCCCTTATAAATATCTGTTTTTTCCTGGTTTTGCTAGAGGACTCAGAGGATGTGTATTGTGTGTTCTCATACTTTAATTGAAAGGGTGTGGGTGTTTGTATTGAATCTTTAACAAAGACTTCCTTTTCTCCAATATTATTTAATTAGTCATTGAAGTTAAACAGATATAGATAATTTTTTAAAGTAAAAAGTAACACTTTTTAATTACTATATCTATCTAGTGTACTGCACACTGCTTTATTCAGTAATTTCACTCCAGTATAGCCTGGAGGAGTTAGTGAGAGAAATTTTCAAAGGCATAAATTTGAGCAACATGCCCATCATCCATTGTCTTTTAGTGGGAGTTTGGTGCCTAATTTCTTTAGATCCTTGTGAAAATGTCAGCCTACATTTTAGGCAATCAAATGAATTTCTGTGAAAACGAATCTACATGTTATAATATCAATCAGTTGGAGAATGTACCATGCTTCCCATTCCAGTAGAATGTGGTACAAGCTGGGTCCAATTCTGATTCTCTGAACCTGAAGATCATTGTTTAAGAGGCCATGACTTGGACTAGAGTGCGAAGAGATAAAGGACCTTAAAAAGTGAGACAGATTGGCAGAGATTACTGGAATTCACATCAGACTCAACAAATTACTCAGCATAGAGTTTACATATGTTTGTTGAAACCTCACAGGTATATAGTGCAGTATTTGCGTTCAGTTGCCATTTTTCAGACAAGCCTTATGCAGCCAGTTAAATTCACATTTAAATCAGTGGGTATATGACTGGTATCCAAATTTTGCTTTGTGTAGACTGGTTTTGACTGGGCTAACTTTAAAATGAATATAGTAAAGATTTTTTTTTCTATTGAGAAGAGAACTTCATTATTTCTGTATTATAGTGCTGACTGGTATATTAAATTTGCACTTTAAAAGTTATTAAGTGTATGGGATGTTATTTAAGTTGTATCTTTTGCTTTGTTCTCTGCAATACCATAAAAAATAAAATGTATTTATCATTTTGTTAAAAAGATTGCCTAACTACTATATAAAATGTGATGGTAATCTCTCACAGTAAAGCGGTGTATTTTCTCATTGTCACAAAAGATATGATACATCATGAAGATACAGTGTTGCATATGCACTGTTCAGAATAAAAAATATGATGCTTTCTTTATTACTTTTGGCATGATCTCTGGGGCACATCTCCTCTGGAAAAAGCAATGCCAATGAAGTGATATGGGTTTTTTTCAGTGTGGAAGTGCCCTTCATATCAGCCAAAACTAAAATTGTTAAAGCTACGCCAAGTGCTGTCATTTATCTCTCTCCTTGTTCCTAAGAAGTGCTTTCATTGGTTAAAAGCTGTGGTTAATCTTCATATCATTAGCGTTACTGTGTAAATTACTTGCATTTTGTATGACATTAAAACAGTTAAAATATACTAATATAGGCCCTGATCCTGCATAGATCAGGGCACTGTTCCTTTTAGATTGTAGGTTCTTGAGACCACAGACCTGTTTTGTATCCTGGTAATGTACCAGGTGCATCTTTAGGACTATTGGAGTAGTATGTAATATTGTGCATAACACACAATATATTTTAATTGTACCATATTATACACCATGCTAATAAGGTTATTTGAGCATAGGTTACTAATTTTATTTCTTTTTCTTCTTAGGACAGAATTTTGAGATTCTATGCAAAGACCTTTTCATCTTCTCCACTAAATATGACAAGGGAAGTCTATACAAGCTTAGGTATGTGCATTTAATCATGTTTTAATAATTTTTCATGTTTCATATGCTTTTCTGAAATCATTTTAAAAAATCACAATCTAATGAAGTCTATATTACTAGTAATACTGTTTTCCTCCCCCCCTCTTTTCAGCGAAACACTTAGAATTGTACTTTCTTTCTGGAGAAAATTGTGTTCCTACTATTTCAGATGGTATAGACATAACTAACCCAGAAATAATTCGTTTACTTAAAAAGGTATACGTTAGCTTTCTATCCCTTTTATTTTTTAATTATTGAAATATTATTAATTCTTTTTTAAAAAATTATCACCTTTATGTTCACAGGTGCGTCTTCTAAATGAGTACCAAAGAGAGGTTCCCTCTTTCTGGATTCGTCATCCAGAAAAGTATGTCACCTTTTTTATTGGATCACAAAACTACTTAGAGGCTCACTGTGGACAGTGGTCTATACTCCTTCCCTTCATTACTATTTTATTTTATTTTATTT